GGGATCGTCGGTTCGAATCCTACTGAAAGAAGTCTGATGAGGAAATGTGGTGATTTCCGAAATAGCTATCACTTCTACCATTTTTTCAAATTATTGTTGCTTTTCCACAATAAAATTTTCATTTAAAACGGCCTCGAGCTCAATATAAATTGTTGAATATAATTGTTATAAAGGCCAAAAAAATAACAAAAATATTTATTTTTTATTTTAATTTCTGTGTTGATCTTTGCTACATATGTATAATGTGATATATATTTTATTTTATTTTTGTTTTAAGTAATCTGTATGTATTTTATTTTACTGGTATTTTTAATCTCTGTTTTGTACTATAAAAGATCTATGATCTTATTGTTATAATGTTTTTTCTCTTAATAAATGAAATGAAATGAAATTTTAATAATCTCAACGGTTTCTACCCTCCATTGCCGCCCATCCGCACGAGTGGCGCAGTCCGCATGACGTACGGAACCAATATTTTCTTTTTTTTTGCGCCGAGTCACGATAGGCAGTAGTTTGTTAAGTGTCGAGATCTAAAACTGTTCAGCTACAGAACTAAATTCATCAGCTGATTTNAAAAGCGAATCAGATATATCAAATGTGCTGGAATGAGAGTTAAAGTCCTGCCATAAGCAACGGAGTGGCTCATGTAATTCAAAATTAGTTTTAAAAGTTTTCAAAAATAGGGGATAAAAGTGTATTGATACTCGGGAGGGAACATTAAGGCTAACTTCACTCAGAAGAAACGGACTTGAAACTGAGCCTGTCAGTAATTTAACCATAAAAATTGTACCAAGCATTTCCCTGCGACTGACAAGTGTAGGAAGATTAATAAGTTTTAATCGGCTCGTATAAGGCGGAAGGTTATATTGAGAATCCCAACGGAAATTTCTTAAAGCAAAAAGTAGGAATTGTTTTTGAATTGATTCTATCTTGTCTGAGTAAATTTGATACCTTGGATTCCAAACCACCGAACCGTATTCCATAATCGGTCTAACTAATGTTGTAAACAGGGTTTTAGTGATACAAAAGTCACTAAATTCTTTTGACCATCGTTTCACAAATGCAAGTACACTTTTAGCCTTGTTGACTCTCACATTAATGTGAAGATTAAAATTAAGCTTAGGATCCATTGTGATACCAATGTCCACAAAATTGTATACCTGTTCCAAATTATGGTTATCTATTGTATAAGAAAGTGGTTGAACAACCCTTCGCGAGAAGCACATTACTTTAAATTTTTCCAGGTTTAGAGGCATACGATTTACATAGCACCAGTTAGCCATGCTGTTTAAGTCTGCTTGTAGCAAATGCTTTTCTTTGATTGATACGTGCGATTTATAAAGTTTCACATCATCTGCGTACATTAAAATTTTTGAAAATTTTATATCTGTAAAAATATGAAGTAACATCAATGACGTCAGAAATAGTATTTTTAAACATAACCCTTTGTGATCTATAATAGAGGTATGAAGAGATCCAATGTAGAAAATTAGGTTGAAGACCAAGAAGATCAAGTTTATAGATGAGTTACGAGTGACATACTTTTTCAAATGCTTTACTGAAGTCGGTATATATAACATCCACATTTTTGTTTTCACTAAACGCTTTTGAGATATAGGTTGTGAACTCAAGTAAATTTGTTGAAGTTAATTTGCCTTTGCAAAACCCATGTTGACAGTATGAAATGGTAGAGGAGATAGAATGCGTCAACTGATTTGTAATAATTTAGGAATTGCAGAGAGCTTAGCTNAGGGGCACCGAAATTGCGCATATGGAAACTGTGCATTTAGACATTATTTCGGTTTCAACCGAAACTGTGCATGTATGCTTTATTTCGGTTTTTACCATATGCATTATTTCGGTTTTAAACCGAAACTGTGCATGTATGCATTACTTCGTTTTTTTTCATATGCATTATTTCGCTTTTAAAACGAAAGTATGCATATGCATAATTTCGGTATTTTCTCATATGCATTATTTCGGTTTTCAACCGAAACTGTGCATGTATGCATTACTTCGGTTTTGGTTATATGCATTATTTCGGGTTTCAACCGGAACTGTGCATGTATGCATACCTTCCTCTTTCACATATGCATCATTTGGGTTTTGACCCGAAATTGTGCATGCATGCATTATTTCGGTTTTCTAACGAAAGTGTGCATATTTATAATTTGTTTGTTTTTCTAATATGAATTAATTAATTCTGCTTAGTAAGGGTTTTAATCCCTAAGCGCGGCCGAAGGCCGCCTACGCAGATAGAAATTCAGCCCAAAAAATACTTCCGACCTTCTTTTCCGGCAACACAGATAGGAGAGTTTTAATCCCTAAGCGTGGCCGAAGGCCGCCTACGCAGATAGAAATTCAGCCCAAAAAATACTTCCGACCTTCTTTTCCGGCAACACAGATAGGAGAGTTTTAATCCCTAAGCGTGGCCGAAGGCCGCCTACGCAGATAGAAATTCAGCCCAAAAAATACTTCCGACCTTCTTTTCCGGCAACACAGATAGGAGAGTTTTAATCCCTAAGCGTGGCCGAAGGCCGCCTACGCAGGAAGAGGTTCTGCGCAAAAATACTTCCGGTCCCCTTTTCCGCCAACACATAAAGGATAATTCTACTTAGAAAGGGTTACAATACCTAAGCGCGGCCGAAGGCCGCCTACGCAAAAGGAGGTCTGCGCAAAAAGTACTTTTCTGCGTTTCCGGCAACACAGAAACTGTGCATGTATGCATTACTTCGGTTTTTGTTATATGCATTATTTCGGGTTTCAACCGAAACTGTGCAGGTATGCATACCTTCGTCTTTCACATATGCATTATTTCGGTTTTCATCCGAAACTGTGCATGTATCCATTACTTCGTTTTTCATATATGCATTATTTCGGTTTTATAACGAAAGTGTGCATATGGATAATTTCGTTTTTTTCTAATATGAATTATTTAATTCTACTTAGTAAGGGTTTTAATCCCTAAGCGCGGCCGAAGGCCGCCTAGGCAGAGAGAAGTTCTGCGCAAAAATACTTCCGCCCTTCTTTTCCGTCAACACAGAAAGGAGAGTTCTACTTAGTAAGCGTTAAAATCCCTAAGCGCGGCCGAAGGCCGCCAACGCATAAGGTGTTCTGTGCAAAAGGTGTTGCGTCCCTCTTCTTCGGCAACACAGAAAGGAGAATTCTGCTTAGTAAGGGTTATAATCCCTAAGTGCGGCCGAAGGCCGCCAACGCAGAAGGTGTTCTGTGCAAAAGGTGTTGCGCGCCTCTTCTTCGGCAACACAGAAAGGAGAATTCTGCTTAGTAAGGATTATAATCCCTAAGCGCGGCCGAAGGCCGCCAACGCAGAAGGTGTTCTGTGCAAAAGGTGTTGCGCCCCTATTCTTCGGCAACACAGAAAGGAGAATTCTGGTTAGTAAGGGTTATAATCCCGTAGCGCGGCCGAAGGCCGCCAACGCATAAGGTGTTCTGTGCAAAAGGTGTTGCGCCCCTCTTCTTCTGCAACACAGAAAGGAGAATTCTGCTTAGTAAGGGTTATAATCCCTAAGCGCGCCCGAAGGCCGCCAGCGCAGAAGGTGTTCTGTGCAAAATGGTGTTGCGCTCCTCTTCTTCGGTAGCACAGAAAGGAGAATTCTACTTATTAAGTGTTATAATCCCTTGGAGTGCAATGGGGTATATTCATTGCGCTGGGTATGCAGTTACAGTTGCATGGCTATACTCAATCCCGACTCTTGCGTCCTCGTTCGCGCACTCTGGGCAACGTGAGCAACCCATGTGCGAGATGCGGTAACCAATCCGAGTGGAGCCTTGGGTCACGGCAGAAAGAGAGGGAGCTTCGGTGGGGCCACTCTGACTTATTCGGTTTAAGGGCTCACTGAAGTCTGCAGCGTCTGTTCACCAGTAGGTGCGGCTGCAAGCGGGTGTCTGCTTGGAGCAAGCGGCTCGCTATATAAACGTGTATTTGGTTGCGAAACCACCCCCGTCCCAGCAATGGGTTGTGCGCTGGGCTTGGGACCCGCCACGTAAAAACCACTTCCAGTGAAGAAGCAAGGCAAAGCCTCGGATGAGACCCCCCCTTATGATGACGACCACGGCAAACGTTTAAAGGACTACGATTTGAGGGCATGCACCTGGAATGTCCGGACCCTTAATGGGGAAGGTGCCTCTGCCCGGCTGGTTGATGTCCTCGTAAGGACAAAAGCTGACATCACCGCCATCCAAGAAATGCGTTGGACGGGGCAAGGCAAGCAATGTCTGGGGCCTTGCGACGTCTACTACAGCTGCCATGTAAAGGAGCGCAAATTCGGAGTTGGATTTGTGGTGGGAGAGAGACTCCGTCGCCGAGTACTGTCGTTCACCCCGGTGGACGAGCGTCTAGCCACAATCCGCATCAAAGCGAGATTCTTCAACATCTCGCTCATCTGCGCCCATGCCCCGACGGAAGAGAAGGATGAGGCATCCAAGGATCTCTTCTATGAGCGCTTGGAGCGCACGTACGAGCGCTGCCCCCGTCATGATATCAAAATCGTGCTTGGCGACTTCAATGCCAGGGTGGGCAAAGAAGGGATCTTTGGAACCACCGTCGGAAAATTCAGCCTCCACGACGAAACGTCCGACAACGGATTGAGGCTGATCGACTTCGCCGGGGCCCGAAACATGGTAGTATGCAGTACTAGGTTCAAGCATAAAAAGATCCATCAAGCTACCTGGCTGTCTCCGGATCGAAAAACGAGAAACCAAATCGATCATGTTGTGATAGACGGAAGGCACGCTTCCAGTGTTTTAGACGTACGCACACTCCGAGGCCCAAACATCGACTCGGACCACTATCTTGTTGCAGCCAAGATACGCACCCGCCTCTGTGCAGCAAAAAATGTGCGCCCAAATATGCAAGGAAAGCTTAACGTCGAAAAGCTGCAATCACAACAGACAGCCAGCGCTTTCGCTACTCGACTCTCACACCTGCTCTCAGAGAGCACTCTTCAACAAACCGACATATGCGAGCAGTGGAACCACATTTCCCGCTCATTAAGTACCGCCGCCGAAGAAGTAGTCGGATTTCAGCGAGCCCGAAAGAACAACTGGTACGATGAGGAGTGTCAGGAAGCTGCAGAGAAAAAAGATGCCGCCTACAGGGCCACGCTGCGATCGGGCGCAACGCGCGCTATGTGGGACCGCTATAGGGATCTGAAGAGGGAAGCGAGACGTATTTGCCGCAACAAGAAGAGAGAGGCAGAAATACGTGAGTGCGAAGAGCTTGAAATGCTGGCCGACAGGAGGAATGCCCGAAAATTTTACCAGAGAGTTAGGCGACTTACGGAAGGTTTAAAGACCGGGGCGCACTCCTGTAAGAACAATAATGGCGACCTAGTAACTGATGTCCAGAGCGTACTTAAATTATGGAGGGAACACTTTTCCGCCCTACTAAATGGTAGCAGCACGGAAAGTTGTGGAGAAGAAGAACCCGAGCCCGCAGTCGATGATGACGGAGTCGACGTTCCACCGCCTGACTATGACGAGGTACGTATAGCAATAACGCGGCTGAAAAACAACAAAGCCGCTGGAGCTGACAGCCTGCCAGCTGAGCTATTCAAGTACGGCGGCGAGGAGTTGATAAGGTGCATGCATCAACTCTTGTGCAGAATATGGTCAGATGAACGCATGCCCGACGACTGGAATTTAAGTGTGCTCTGCCCAATCCACAAGAAAGGTGACCCCGCCATTCGCGCCAACTACCGCGGGATCAGCCTTCTAAGCATAGGTTACAAGGTCTTATCGAGCGTATTGTGTGAAAGACTGAAGCCCACCGTCAATGAACTGATTGGGCCTTATCAGTGTGGCTTTAGACCTGGCAAATCCACCATAGACCAGGTATTCACAATACGCCAAATCTTGGAAAAGACCCGCGAGAAAAGGATCGACACTCACCACCTATTTGTCGACTTTAAAGCCGCTTTTGACAGCACTAAAAGGAGTTGCCTATACGCCGCTATGTCTGAATTTGGCATCCCCTCAAAACTCATACGGCTGTGTAAAATGACGTTGAGCAATACCACCAGCTCCGTCAGAATTGGAAAAGACCTCTCCGAGCCGTTCGCCACAAAACGGGGTTTCAGACAGGGCGACTCCCTTTCATGTGACTTCTTTAATCTGATGTTGGAGAAGATAATAAGAGCTGCAGAACTGAACCGCTCAGGAACAATTTACTACAAGAGCGTGCAATTGCTGGCTTATGCCGATGACATCGACATCATCGGTAACAAAAACCGCGAAGTCTGTTCTGCCTTTTCCAAGTTGGATAGGGAAGCAAAGCGCATGGGTCTGGTGGTAAACGAGGACAAGACGAAGTATCTCCTGTCATCAAACAAACAGTCAGCACATTCGCGCCTTGGCACCCACGTCACTGTTGACAGTTACAATTTCGAGAAAGTAGAGAATTTCGTTTACTTGGGAACCAGCATTAACACCGATAATAATGTCAGCATTGAAATCCAACGTAGAATCACTCTTGCCAACAAGTGCTACTTTGGACTGAGTAGGCAATTCAGGAGTAAAGTCCTCTCTCGACGTACGAAAACCACGCTCTATAAGTCACTCATCATGCCCGTGCTGGTATATGGCGCAGAAGCATGGACAATGACAACATCCGATGAGGCGGCTCTTGGGGTGTTTGAGAGAAAGATTTTGCGGAAGATTTACGGTCCTTTACGCGTTGGCGACGGCGAGTACCGCAGACGATGGAACGATGAGCTGTATGAGCTTTACAACGATATGGACATAGTGCAGCGAATTAAAATACAGCGGCTCCGCTGGCTTGGTCATGTCGTTCGAATGGACACCGACGCTCCAGCTCTGAAAGTATTCAACTCGGAACCCGCTGGTGGTAGCAGAGGAAGAGGGAGGCCCCCACTGCGATGGAAAGATCAGGTGGAGAAGGACTTGGCTTCACTTGGCGTTTCCAATTGGCGTCAGTTGGCACAGAGGAGAAACGACTGGCGTACTTTGCTGAACTTGGCCAAAATCGCTTAGGCGGTTACAGCGCCAAAAAAGAAGAAGAAGAAGAATCCCTAAGCGCGGCCGAAGGCCGCCAACGCACAAGGTGTTCTGTGCAAAATGGTGTTGCGCCCCTCTTCGGCAACACAGAAAGGAGAATTCTACTTAGTGAGGGTTATAATCCCTTTGCGCGGCCAAAGGCCGCCTATCCAGAAAAAGGTTTTGCGCAAAAATACTGTGGATAGCGTAGCTGGCATTGGTCCGACCAGGGTTATTTTTTGAAATACTCCTATTTGCGAGGATTAAACACAACATGTTGTATATCAAACGAAAGCTTGAGTTGTGCACTATTTATTTATAAGACTTTTAACTGTAATTAATGCGGCACTTTTTAAAGAAAAATGTGTTTGTTTAAAATTGTTTTTTAATTTTTTTTTACATAAATTGGATTTTTGCTAAAACTTACGAAGTTATATGTAACATTTATATATGTAATTAAAGCGACTCACATTTCCTATTTAATGACATCAAAATTTTTAGAATTGTTCGGATTCTTAACTTGTTCCGAATTTAAATAGAGCCGCAGGCGAAAATTTTTAATAAAAAATCGCGCGATTTTTTATTCCAAATTTTCCTTTTTTAAATATTTTATATTATAAAAAATATCGACGTAGGCGTAAATATTGGGTACTCTTTATGAATTTGTACAACGATTTTGGGTTGCTGTGCCCAAACGCGTCAATCGAATCGAAAACCTTTTACACACACTTGTAGACAACAGTTCACGCTTTATTACAAAAATTTAATTTACTAAATCTGTGCACTAATTTGTTGGAAATTTCCGAAATAAACATACACTGATTACTCTTATTCTGCCTTAAAGCAGCCACTCAATATCTT